CAGTTCTTTAATCCAACTACCCTGGATGAAGTTCAGGAATAAGCTAGCACCCAAGAAGCCAACATATTCTGAGTGCGTGAGGAAAACTTGAGTCGGTGCATTTATCGATTTTTTTTTCCAACTTATTCGCAAGAATTCGTTATGGAAAATTGCAGGGCAATGCAATTGGAAAGTGTCCACGAAGCAAACTTTTCCGCGGCTACATTGACCTTGAGCTGCAATTACGTGAATTCGATCGGTGCAGGATATTATACGGCAAATTTCTGGAATTCGCTCCGGAAAATAGCAGTACGTGGATTAAGTTCGCGGAAATGGAGACAATTTTAGGTGATGTTGAGCGCGCCCGCGCAATTCTTGCTCTGGCCGTGAAGCAACCTGCCTTGGATATGCCGGAAGTATGTTTTATGTTTCCATTGCTGTCCATCGAAATTTTGAAAGCACTTTGTTACGCTTAAGCTCACCGTGTCTGGCTACAGATAAAGCATGGGCTAAAAGTAGTGAACGGCATGTTGCGTAAATCTTAAATTTCCAAGTATCATAAATGAGGCCGCAAATTTACGGTGTTTCTTGTATTTTAATAGGTTATCCTCAGTGCAGTTGCTAATTTCTCCATGATTGCCATGGCCGTAGCTGTATCTCTGGTGCTCAGATTACTGCTGATCCTGGCGTTCATTTCTGGATATATTACATTCTTCGCTGTTTGTTGGTAGTCCTGCATCTCGTTAACGGAGACTGTCATGTCTTCTTTTTCATAAACTGTCAGTCATAGAGGAATGTGTGTAAGAAACAACTGTGTCAAAAATGGATAAAACGAAAGAAAAAAAAAATGAATGTTGCGGTAAAAATGTCTGCGAAACTCACATGTGGAGATGGGCAACACAGTACAGTGTTATGACGTGTTCTTATTTAGAAAGCTTGCAGGTTTTATGGAAAGCCTTCATTGATTTCGAGATCGGTCAAGAAGAATATCACCGGGCACGTCAGCTTTACGAAAGCCTTCTGGATCGAACCAATCACGTCAAGGTTGGGATCTCACATTCTGCTGGCCTTTTTTTACAATAATAATATTAGTCTCATTGCTAACAGAAATATTGTTTTTGGCTTTGATCCATACAAATCCATTCCCTTATAGGTCATTCACTCGGTCCGAATTTAGCAAAACTTACGATCTTTTTATGAGCGCTAAAACCTCTTATAAAGAGGGGAATTTAAAAAAAAATTTTTTTTTGAAGTTTAAAAAAGCCCCGCACAAATGCATCGAAACTCAGATTTTAAAAATAGACACACGAACAAATTTGCTTTGTTTTGCTGACTTTTGTTTCGCTTTTATGCTTTTACGTTCACTTAAGTTACCAAGACTGAACAACTTGAAATATTTTGAGGGCACAGTGGCAGAATTGAAGGTAAGAAGGGATTTCTGTCTTTGAAAATTTGACAGATTTTGTCTTTTCTTCGTGCACAAACGACTTTGATATTTTCTGCGAAGAAAACAGAGCGAGCATTATCTTTACTTTTGCGTTGTGGATTCTGGAAGAAGTCCGGGGTTGACTTCTGTCGGGGTGGACTTCTATCGTGCCATTTTGCAGGTTTGGATAAGCTTAGCAGAATTTGAAATGAAAATGCGTAATGTACAAGCGGCACGCGAAGTATACGAACGAGCAAATAGGACATTAACGAACAAGGAGAAGGAAGCAAAAGTGTTACTGCTGGAGTCGTGGATGCAGTTTGAAACCAAGCACGGCGATGAAAAGTCCGTTGCTGCTGTATGTTCTTTTCCCCATATCTTTTTTGCACTGGTACGACTTTCGGGTTTATATTCCGTGTCCGGAACCTGCTATCACAATGAATTTTTCTAGGTTACGCGTTTAATGCCAAAGAAAGTGAAGAAGCGTCGTGAAATTCTGAACGAGGATGGCGTAGACGCTGGCTGGGAAGAATACTTTGATTACGTTTTCCCTGATGATCAAGGTATTTAGAAATTCGATAACTGGTTCACACTAATAGTTACTGAGTGTATTTTTGTTATAGTAGTGAACCTTAGTCTTTGCAAGAATATTGTAGTAGCTGATAACAGATAAATCAGCTTATCAGTGAATGATAACTGTGAAAAGAGCGCTCTTATGGATGGGCTATGAAGAAATGAAGCGTACAAACGGTATATATGGCGAATATTAGCCGAAGAAATGCTGTCGTAGGCAGTTCCTGGGTTGGGGGAGGTTAGGAGGTCTATCATCTTTTGTCCCCCTTCCCTCCCAACGGCACAGGCACCAGTGTTGCAGAAGTCCGGAAGACCTAAAACTAAAGTTTAAGGTAACTCTAAGTAGCAGTGTTACAACTCCGTTTCTCATTGTTGTATGGTTCTAGACTGGGAGAGGACTCTCCTTCCCACCCCTCGTCCCCCTCCCGTTGCTTCCCCTCTCTTGTCGCCCTCTGCTCCTTCCCAGGAGTCCGTCTTGGATCCGCCTGTAGTTAAGGGATTTGTGCCCGTTTGGAGTTACATCGGTGCTCCTGATCCTCATCCCGGGTGACCTGGATATTGTTAATGCACTGCTTCATAGTCATCAACCGGTACTGCTAATATCGCAAGGTTTTAATCATTTTTTAGAATCGGCAGATAATAAATGTAATACTGAGCGGTAATATTGCAGCGTCAGTGGGAAGTTTGAAATTGTTCGAAGCTGCTCGTCGCTGGAAACTTGCGCAGGCTGCTGCTAGTGCAGAAGTTGAGAGAGATATGGATAGGAATATGAATGAAGAAGAGGAAACCGAGAGAGAAAAGAAAGTTCGCGCGGGTGATTCAGATACCGATATATCATCATCATCGTCATCATCATCATCGACCTCAAGCAGCGATTCCAGTTCCAGTTCCGGGTCGTCGGATAGTGACTCAGATCCCGAAAGGTAACGGATGGATATTTTAGTGCCTGAACTTGGGAGTGATATGAGATATTTTATCCAGTAATGCACATGCGTTCGTAAATTTTGTCTTGAGGCAAAATTCGCCGGTGATCTCACACTGTTTTTCGCGTTCTAAGGTTTCTATTGTTAC